GGAGGAGTGAGATGAAGGAGGGTAGATGGTACGACGCGGTAGCGGCGGAGAGAAACCCGGAGACAAAGACAAGGAGAAAAAGGGAGAGGGGAAAGGGGGGTGGGCGACAGGGAGAGGGAGGGATAGCGCGAGAGAATTAGAGTGGGAAAGAAAAAGCAGAAAGAGTATGGGGGCTAGAGAGGTATAGGTGTTTTTCTTCCAAAGGGGACTTTGTACGCTCGTCTTGGCAGCGGCACGACGCCGTGTAGGAATCGGCCCGCGCACGCTTCCATGGAGGGGGACAAACGAGTTGTCGGTACCCCGAGAGAGTTGGCCGAATAGCGTTGGTGGGGGGAAAAAGCGGGGAGGGAGCGGTAAGCCGTTAGGGCGAGGGGCGACGGAACGGTGCGGATCGACGGGACCCAGGGGAGGGGGCAGCCTCGGACACGATACACGACACAAGGAAGGATAGAATCGAGTCGTGACCGGCGGTGGGGGTAACCCGCGAGAGGGGAAGGGCGTCAGCTGCGCAGAGGTAGCCGAAGCGGGGACAGGGGCCGAGAGAAGCGATTGGAACGAGGAGAGCTGAGTCATAGCGCTGTTGCCACGTCCTCGCCGGCCTCGTTGAGGCGTCCCAACGTTGCCGCTTGTGCGACGTTTGCGGCTTATGTCAGTGTCGTCTGCCGAGAATGGTACTGCTCCGAGACTTTTCCTGCCTTTTACACATATCTACCGCAGACACGGCACACCCAAATTCGAACGAACCCATTTCCCAAGCGAGTGTTCACGAGTACACTGCCGGACGAATATATTCGTCGATATCGTTCGTCCCTATGTTCCTCCCATCGAAAAATACGAATATCGTCCGTATCTCCAAATTCGGCTTGCGTATATGTAGCTTCGTTGAAGCAGCCTAGACCATGGTCATTTTATGGAAACGTATTTTTGCCGGTAATGATACAGTAAGGCCACTTACGAGGAACAAAAAAAGTTCTAGGTCGAAGTTCGAGGATTTATTGTTAACCCTTGTAGAAGATAATTTCAGTTGGATATTGTTGAAGAAGAGTTGAGGAGAATTAATCGACCACTTTCTATTTTTCGACGTCACTGCCGTGTACCAGTGAACTGTAAGGGGTCAAACGGACCTCTGGTTCGATACCTCCCAGGGAGAATTTGCGAGGCTACAAGCTAGCGCGTCCTCGTAGAGCTAGACAGTTTTTTTTATTCGATTTTGCGAGATTCGTGGCGGAATCACGGGGGGCAACGGAGGCCGGGAAAAAGTCGAGAAACAAAAGCCTCCTTTCTTTGTTGTTATCCCGTAGTGTTCGTTCTGCATTGTATTCCTTTTTATTCGCGTTGTTCCTCGCGGAATCGTAGAACCTTGGCGTATTGTTGAAGTTAAATCGACACACTCGCGGCCCTCGGAATTCCGAGGTCCAGAGAAACATGAAGAATCATGCCGGTGGACCTGGCTTTCCTCCACTTTGAACTTCCTACGCTTAAACGGCCGGCATGTTTCGTCGAAATCTTATCTATGACGCGGAGATTCGATATGCGGGCACGTTGTGTCAGTCGACGAGCTGCATCATCGGTACAGAAAATGGCTAAAATTTCGTTCCCAGTCGTTTACGTAACACTGGACACTCACTAATTTTCCGTAATGATAGTCCGATCGACAGAGTTCCATACACGGTAGGTTTCCGTGAATTAAAAAGATAATTCGCTTCCGTTAAGATTTCGTTCGTGGCCGCAGCGATCGAGAAGCCGGCTCGGGACGAACGCACCCAAAATTGTTATGTGTCACGCGTGACACGTTAATTGATTTCTAGAAACGGAAAATTTCCCCGTTCTCTCTCTTTCTCGCTTTCGTTCCCACACACATACACACACATACTGGCCAGGGACTCTTAACCGTGGGCCGATGTATTGATTTCCTGTACGTCTACCGTTTCAAACGTAGAAAGACAAACGGCAGTCCGACTAGTTGCCGTCGCGATGCCTCGCGAGATTCGGTCTCTCGGTGGAACCGTTTCTTTTTTCTCGCCCCCCGACGAAAGGCACTTACATCTAGGGCGAACGATTTCCACTGGTGTCATCGATCGGACGCCGCTACCGAGAAGAGATTTTTCATTGTAACTAACGGCATAACCGTGTGTTTAAGTACAACGGCGATCACTTGAACATCGGAACATGTAAAGATTTGCAGAACGTCACACACTCTCGAAGCGTTCTACTACAGTGCCACTCCGGTGATTCCCCGACACGTATTCCGAGGTTCGTGGACCTAGTCGACCATCTTTAAGGCGACGACCGGCTCTCGACACCTTCATGGCCGGAGACGACGTTGCCGCAAGTCGGACGCCTCTCTTTTTTTCTTCTTCCGCGACGGAAAATCCAACTCTGACCTAGAGACTTGAAATTTATGGAAAGTCATGGTAATGCCCGTCCACATGAAGCAGAACTCGGCGGCTCGCCTCTCTGTACTTCGTTGGAGAGGAACGAAGGAATTGAGCGGCCGGGAGCGAGTCTGCCGAAGTAAAATTCCTCGGCGAGCAGCGAGCGGGGACTATGGAGGGGAATGGGTACGGTTTGCGGCTCGCTGGCCAGCCAGCCAGCCAGCCAGCCACCGTGGCACTCTTCGTCCTCCCCACCATCGCGGCCTTCTATCTTATTTCTTCTCCTCTCGTCCCTGCCCCCTCTCGCCCGCTTTCACTCATGTATGCCACAGAAAAGGACGTTCTCGGGGCGCGCTCGGTGTGCGCGAGAGACTTTTCAACGGTTCGATTGTGTGCGCGTGTATGCCTATGCGCGCGAGCGCCAACGTTTCACGCAGGAGAATGTGTGGGAGAAGAAAACAAGGGGCTGGAGGGGCGAAGAGGGAGGAAGGGAGCCAGTACGAGAGAGAAAGAGAGAGAAAGAGAGGAGAACGAACGAGAACTGGGTGGGATGGGAACTCTTGCGGCCACGACGCACAGAGCGCGATCGGTTCTCTTTCGTAAAATGTCACGCAGAGAATAAACGCTCGATACCGATAATCGCTACGAATAAATACATCGGTCTCTTCTCCTCCCGTATATTCTTTCACTGATTCCGTTTTTCGCCTCTTTCTCGTCTTTTTTTCTTTGCTTCACTTTTTTTCGACTCGACAGCATCGTGTATTGTCACGTACGAAACAACGGGCCCCGGGCAAGAATTTCGAGATGGCACTGCTTCCACACGTCACAAATCGAGCATCCGAGGAAACTCTCTTGGGGAATTTCTGTGCGTCGGACGCGCGGAACGTGGAATCGGAACGGAAAACATGGACGGCACGTCGCGGTAGCCATTTTGTCCGAGCGATCTTCCAGAGGATGTGTGTCGTTGCGACATTAGACCTTATATCCTCTCGGCGTTTTCTCCTTTTCGTACCTCCGCGGAGAGAGATCGAGCCGAACCCCCGAAAATTGAAAATCTCTCGACCCGGAGTAGCCTCTCGGGACAAGGGGCAACACACATCTCTCTCTCCTGCTACAGTTGCGGGAAGATCCAATTCGTTTCGACACGGCGGATAAACGTGTTCGAAATGTTCGAGCGAAACGAAGTGCAACGAGGGAAGATAAAAAACCGTTATACAAAGACTCTTCTCCCGTGCCCCTTTCCTCGCCATCGAATCACACGGCATATGGAAGAGGGGCCACGCCCCGTTCGCAGGCGATCCGACATATCACGATAGAAAAAAGTGTGTGCCCGGGATATCCTGATAAACGAACGTGTGTGTCGTCCTCCCTCGTTTATACGAAATACAATCCACCGGTTTTCCTTGATTTTCGTAACGGCCTAGCAAGAACTCTTTCTCTCTCTCTCTGTCTCTTTCTCTCTATATATATATTTCTCTCTATCTCTCTCGCTCTCTCTCTCTCTCTCCCTGCGCAGTAGAATATCCAAGCGCGAACTATTAATCCAAGGTGCCGCCCAATTCTCGCGCATTCCTCTCTCTCTATTCGCGTAATCGAAGCTCGCTGCTTGTCGAGTGTTACAGAACAAACAACGGATCGTTTCTCTAATGCATTTTTCCGCTGATGCGTTATTGGCTGCGTGTCTGATCCGGGATATCAAAGAAGAAAAATAAAAAACAAAGCTTCTCCTCGGAAGAACGCACAAGGAAATACGTGCGACTCACGCGAGATTAGACGAACAACTCCCAGAGATACTCCGTGACCGTTCGAGCCTTTGCGCTTGCGCGTAATGTTCTTCTCCCTGTCGGCGAATCAGAACCGGCCGATCCCCACCACCGCGTGCGCTCGCCCTACCTCACCTAGTAAGCCCGTTTCTACTGCTGCCGAGCTTTCTGTACACAGGGTGTGCCAGAAACAACTTTGGCTCTTTGTTTTCTTTAATTTCGTCGAAATTCAATATCTCCGGATTCTACAGGGTGAAAACAAGACGCGCTTTCTTTAAGTATACCGATCTTGAGTCGCGACCGAGCAAAGTACGAGACGCCCGTCGATTCCGTTCTTCAAAACAACCGACCAAGTACAGTTGCTAAAAATATTACCACCATACCGAGAACTGTTCTTCAGCCACCTGTACGCTAGAGAATTTCAGCGACAGCCTGATTAGTAAATTTCTCGATTCGATTTTCGGTGTGCGCGTCAGGTTAGGAACAGAGAACTTAGCAAAAACAGTCACGACATCTGTGCGCACTTCTTCTCCGAAATCCTAACCTGTCTTAGCGAGACCCTCGTCTGTCCCGCAGTCACAACTTCCGGCCATTCGTCGAAGTCCCTGACATTTTCATGTCCCCGAGTGAGCGCCCACTGATTATATTTATTTCTTAGAAGAATCAAATAATAAACGTTATTATGCTGGCGACCCTAGAATGCCCTGATTGTTCGCAGAGGCAAGCGGCGTCTTGCCCTACACGGCGATCCGTGCCTCGTGCCTGTTTTTCTAAGCCTGCACACACACCTGACACGTATACACACAGTTGTTGGCGGAAAGTTTGCCGGCTTTAATTAATGAAGAAATTCGGCGTGTTTCAGGTATGGACGCGTGCAGAGCGTCAAGCTGCTGCCGCGGGGCGAAGAATGCCCCGTGGACGGTGGTACCGGTGGTTCCCTTGGAGAAGGCAACGAGGGTGGTTCCGGTTCCAATTCTGGGAACGGCGGCAGTGGCGGGGGTAGCGGTTCCTCGAGCAGCACCGGGGGTGCCTCCGCGACGGTGGCGTTCATGGATATCAAGTCCGCAGCGAAGGCCCACGCGACTGAACACACCTTGGACGAACGAGCCCTCACCACACAGTACTACGAACCACAACATCTTCAGCACAGGTTTCCCTCGCACGGGTAAGTTCATCCACATCGTGCAAACAACCTGTCTCTAGCATTTCCTTAGCTAACACGGCAGGATTACTTCATTCCAACGATGGACGACTCTCGATCGATTTTCTAAAGAATCGATCTTCGACTTTTTTAAATCGATTCTTGGATATTCGATTTTGAAACGAATCGATTCGATGTCGTCGTAATGCAATTAACTATTGCCATTTACATGTTGTCTTTCTAAATTCATTGCCTTTAAATAATTGGTTAATAGATGATGATTAATGTATTTAATCAATCTATAATGTATTTGTAATTATTGCGAATTCTCCATTTTTTAAGTCCTAAATGAGTAAATAAATATACCAATCTAACTTAAAAGTTTCTATGCAGTATTTCATCATAAGGTATTCTCTCTGTAAATTGGTATCCCGATAATGTTATAAATGTTATATATTTAATATTGTATTACTTTTTTTTATTGAAGAACTTGATTGCATTTTGTTGCACTTTGTTGCACTTGAGCATTGCATTTTAGGTCCGATTTACGAAATCGAGTTCCATGCAGTATGCGTATGGATATAAATAGTATTTCGATAAATTGTTTTTAAATCTATTTTTCATCGTTCGATTTTCTAGCGAATCGATCTTTGACGTTGCGATTCAATATTCGTTCTTTTTGAAAGAATCGTCTACCCCTACTTCGTTCCATACCCTAGAAGGGTACGGTATAGGGGATGAGATATGGAAGAGTATTTTCCATACTCGTAGCAGGCGAGGATTTAGAATTCAGCGTATTTGACTTAAAACCATTTATATATTTGTAACTATGGGAGCTAGATACGCGAACTTGATGTCGCTATTATGATGGCGTTTGTCTTCAAAAGGTTAACTCCCATCTTATCCAACTCTAAAAATGATTAGCGAATTTGTCACTAAACGACACATCCTGTCTATAAGTCATTGGATTGCGTAAAGTTACGGCACTTGAATTCTCGCGCGAAATAATTTACATTATTCAAATTATTTCCTTCAAATAAGCGCAGCGTCGAACAAAAATTGTTTTACTCGGAAATTTCTCAATCCGGGTCACACCGTGTGACACCGATGTCACAAAAAGAACCCCGATTCGCCGGAGTTGTAATCATTGTTATAAATGTAACCTTGTCGAAAGTCGAGATATTTCGGTAATCGAGGAGTCACGTATTGATGTTGGCCGTCTTGATGAGTCATGCCGGGGGAATTAATTAAATCCCATTCTATTATTACGCCCGAAAGCGTAAATATGGTTAGGAATGGAATTTTATAATTCAACAAGTTATTGACACGACCGATTGGGATCTTATATCTGGGAAAATAATCTCGGAATTTACGGCCAATTAATTGGTGTACAATCTGGCGGGCAATCCATAAGAAGTGTGTACATACATACACCTTTTCCGCTATCATTCGATATTGGATTGTAGTGATTTACTATTATACCGCGTGCTGCCGAGAGACGCGGCATTGTCGACACGTAGACTGATTGCGTCAAATATATGGGTCCGAAGCAATATCGCGGATTTTATTGGCTGTCGATTTCCTTTTCAGTCAGGGATCACATACTTTAGCATTAGGTTCGCGTCGGTATATAAGCGTGCACCAAGGTATGCATAATCTTGTCGACATACATACAAACATTGTTACACGTACCTCCACTCGGCGTTATAGCCAAGGTTGACACCCCGATTTCGTAATTTCACGATATTTATTTTTATTTTAACTCGCCTCTATTACGTAAACGTTACAAAACATCCTTCACTGC